TCGGAGCTAAAAAACATAAGATAGATATTGTACTACTGTATAGAGATAGTTAAACTACATTATGGTACCACAGCTAGGGAAGATTTACTTTTTTACGTGAGAATAGACTAATGATTTTTGATAATGATAATGAATATGATGATTAACATGGTGGTGATGATGATGATGATAATGATAATGATGAGGTAGATAGTGGTGATGAGAATGATAATGGTGGCAATATGAAAATAATGATGATGATAATGAAGATGATGATAGTGAAAATGATAATAAAAGTGAGAATGATGATTTTGAAAATAATTAAAGTTTTGCAAAATGACTTATAAAAAGTTTATTAAACTTTTGTTACTACAAACATCAAATATATTATTACAAATATTAAGTTCTAAAATACAGTACTGGAATAACAATTTCATTCTAAGACTACCAAACTTTATTCAACAAAAACTGTGACATGCCTATATATGGTTATATATGATGCCTATATATGCCTATATATGATGACATCACATCATGACCATATATAGGCACATCATGACTATATATGGGCATACAAAAGTTTGTTGTATCAATAAAAATTTAATAATCTAGACAGAGATTAATATATATTCACTGTGGTTATTCAATTCAATTTGACAATGTTGACAATGTACATTGGATCATTGTTCATTGCATTGTAATATTCAGGATTTCCTGTATAAAATGGATAAATCAATTGATCACATAGAGGGCGGTCTTCATAAAACATGTACAGTACTTGCCTCTGCAAGCTGATATGAGGAATATGGGGCCAGACTAACATCTTATGATCAGGTCAACAGTATAAATAAAGGGATTTAGCAATGGGCATCATGTGACCTAACTTGGGTGTTGGACATAAACAATCCACTGACACAGAGGTGTTTTACAATGGAGATTTCTATTGCGGCCGTCCCATGTTTATTGCTGTAAAGATCATCATAATTCCCAGTAAAATATTGATTGGAAATTAAACTTAAGAATTTTGCCTTAATGTTTTGCTAATGCTGTAAAGGCCACAAACGTTGAGATTTTTCGACAAATGTTAGGCCTAGGCCCCTGCACATCTACGGCATGGTTAGGTATGCATGATGGTCTTCGGCCCCTGAACTACGCTGCAATGTTAGGGCCAGCTAAGGTTTATGAAGGATCACTTCAATTTCAAAGCATACAATCCAAGGAGAATGCTAGGATAAGTAAATAAACACTATTTTGAACAATCAAAGAAATAAACACTATCTTGAACAATTGGAGATTTTGAACTAAAGGAGATTGGTGTTGATATAAAAAATCAACAGTGTTCAAAACAGCTAGTTTTAATTTTAATTTTGTGGTAAGGTACATACCTACTAGGGTCATGGGTCCAAGTCAATTAAGTTTCTAGAATCTTAAAAAGTTTATTCAATGTTAATTTTTAAACTTCAGTGAGATTAGGCAGTAGGAAGTTGCTATTTTAACTTTTTATAATTATGTAATTCTACATTTTATATTCTAATCTGGTTTTTATTGTAAATTTTAACCTTTGGATATATTTATATATTTATTAATTATTGTTTGTTAAGTGTCCCCCTTGGCGGAGGAGAAAATTTGTACAGCAATTAAGTTTGCTTTGTTTAATCCTGTCTCTCTCAAGGGTGTTTTGTTTTGTTTTTGTTGTACAATGTTTTTAAAATTGGATGAAATAGATGAAATGAAATGAAATTGCCTTTCCTTGCCATTTACATTAACAGTGGGTGGTTGTTTTCGCAACCATAACATTATCTTTTCCTATGCTATAGCACTGTAATGTTTTTCATGTATACCCAAGTTAGGTCGCGTGACCGCCTGTAAGCAATCATCACTAAATCCCTCTATTGAGAGGTGATAAGGGCTGTAAGACCACAGTAAAATGTAAAAGTGCATGATGTGGGTTAGTATGTGGGCCAAGGAGATTGGTGTTAAGATATCAAAGATCAACAGCATTCAAAACAGCTAGTTTTAATTTTAGTTTTGTGGTTAAGGTACATGCCGACTAGGGTCATGGGTCCAAATCAATTAAGTTTCTAGTGTATTTTCTAACTGTACTTTCTTAATTCATATGTGACCAAGTTTTCTGTATTTGGTAATTTACTGTAATTTATTTACTTTTGGTTGCTGTTAGAATTTTAAAATATTAAAAATAATAATCATAATATTGATTTTTAGTATCAATAATTTTATACTAACAATATAACTACTAATAATCATTATTATTGATATAATCTATAAGATATGAGATTTTTCTCATTTTACATAATGCTATGAACATGAAGTACATATCCAAATATTTGCAAAAAAAATCACACAACATTCAGGTGAAAATGACACCCATGATCTCTCTCGTGATTTGAGACAATAGAGGGTGTACTGATTAATCAGTAGGATAACACATCAGGTTGTGAAAAAAAACAACATATTTGTTGAGCTTTCAATTCAAATTTTGGAATTTTGGAATTCAAATTTTGTTATAATAATCATGAAAATAATTTAATAGGTAAAAGTAAACAAACTGCAAAAAAATGTAAATCATACTTTTTTCAAAACTATCGCATTTATCATACCTTTATATTCATGATTCTATATAACAAATCTAGAAGGTGCATCATTGCTTAGCAACGACATAACAGGTTATGATTGACTCACATTCCAACTATGACATTCAGAAAGAAATTTATATCCTGTGAAAAACGTTGGTTAATATTGAATATGAAATGCAATAACTATAACAGTTTTGTCATGGTACACGATGTCAGGTACAAACAGGTGATGACAATCACCTTTGTGTACGTTTACTTGACGTGCATTCAAACGACATTCAGAGGGGAATTCGTATTCTGCAAAAACATCAATTTAATAAGAGCAATAAGAAATCAAATAACTATAACGCTTTTGTCATGAAAATGCACAAGAAATAATTAGAATTAACATGAAAAAGAATCGGGATGGAGATTTATGTGAACTATATCTAATTCAACTTACTAAATGTGCGTGAGATGCTTTGGCAATACAAAATTTTGAGAAAGTTAGCAAAATTGTGAATACGCCCCCTGAGGATTTAAGTACAATAACCTTGGAAATGTGCAGAATCTCAGAGGGACTTTGAATTACTATGATTAAAAATGAAATCATTTCTCAACAGGGTTGTCAATTAAGTGCACTCCTCAGACCGAAACTTGTGCAGCGACTGACCAATCGGAATCAAGTCACATGGTTCTTAGTCACTGGCCTATATTTCACTTGCTGACTTGCAATAAGACATGTTTCCTTCTCATTTCTTCCTATCCAAGCTTCTGCACTTAACTATGTCAGCTTGTTTGACATCAACCATCGAGGTTTTATTATAACATCTGCCTCCTCCCATATCTCGTTAGGTCTCGTTTCTTGTTATGCAAGCACGGCGAATGAGGGTCGGTGAGTGGAACGTTACGGTTTAGTACATTTTAATGGGTGTGCTTTTGAAGTCATTTTGAAAAAAACAAAACAAAAAGATACAAGTCGTGTAGTCTCAGGGATCATCAAAGTTTTCTTTTACTAAATGTTGGCAATGATATTCTTTGGAGATCTTCTCTTGTGCAGTCTCATCAGTAATCCTAACATTAAAGACTTCTTACAGCAAGTGCTGGCAATGATTTTAATCTTACTAATCCTAAAATCTATTTATGGCATTTATACAATTGTCTTTTGTTCTGCAGAAGCCTTTCTTTTGTGCAGTCTCAGGGGTGGCGCCAGCGGGTGGGCAAGGTCAACCCGTTGGGGAGCGCTGGCACCCCCGTCGGGGAGAAAAAGCACAATTGGTCGGAGAGAAAAAATATTATATGTATTTTTTACATATTATTAGACTCTAAAATCGATTCAATAAGTCTTTGAAAACCCTAAATTGTCCTAAAATTTTCGGAGGCTTCGCCCCCAGGACCACTTTTGGAGCCCTTTAATCGAAGCTTGACCATGCCCAAATGATGAAATGTAGAAATGATTGGTAGAAATGATACCTATGTCATTTTCCTGAAGAAACTTTTCTCTTGTGCAGTCTTAGTGATCAATGATTAGTAACAAAGATACACTTGTTGTTTAGACCAACTCTTTTTTTTTGTAGTCTAAGTTGTACAGACTGATAGCAATTGTGACTACTATTGTCTCTTGTTTGGCCGAAGCATTTAGTTTCTTGTGCAGTTTCAGTGTTGATATCAACAGTGTCTTGAACCAATGATCAATGGCAATTGTATTCCTGTTTTTTGATCAGCAGAAACATTTTTGTGCAGTCTTTAGTGAAAATCAAAGCCAATTGCTCTTAAGATCTTCTCTCTTGTGCAGTCTCTATGATGTACCACAGCACTTGTCTGTACATCACATTGTCCAAAACATTAATAATCTTTGTATAATGGCAGGCATGCAGTTTAAATATAACCAATTTCTCATTATTTTCAAAGGAACTTTAACTGCAAGTATAATAAATTAGTCCTAAGGCAAATTTCCTGTTATGAACCTGTCTATTTTGCTAACACCTTGCCTGCTGATACAATATTCTCAAAGCATATATATCAAAATCATAAAAAAACAATAATTGAATATAATAATAAAAAAGTGGCAAATTAATTGGCTGATAGAAAATTCCTTCCGTAGCTATATCAAAAATAACTACTACTACTACTTTTCCAAAATAATTCTTCAACTCAGATTAACAAAATTAATCTGAAATATTTTTAATTGGCTGATATTTATAATCATGGTCTGGAGGATGTGGTTATTCTGATACAAACCTGATGGTATGGTATTATGAATGGGTATGAAGATCTAATACACAGAGAATGGTTTGAAAGGGTTAAAAAAAATCCTGCAGGTCTAATAGATGATAATAATTTGATAATGTACACAGTTCAATGGTCTGATAAATACAGAAGTTAATGGTTGTGTTAAATAAATTGAAAAGTTAATAATCAAATGGGATAGATAATCGAAAGACTCACTCATATCATTGTCATAGTTTGACTTCTTGGAGATGTCGCTGGTGCTTCCTCTGCGTTGCAAAAGATGGCCACCGCCATGAGATCCACTGGAATGTGATGTCACATCAGGGTTAGCTTTGCTGTTTGTTCCGAGGAAGATACTGGCAGATTTGTTTTGCTTCGTGTAAGTGGTAAGTAGTTCTTCCAGTTCATTCTCACTATAAAATCAAGATATTTATTATTTTTTGTGCTGATGTATTTTTACTGTATTTATATTTAAATACAATGGTATAATTAGAAATGACCTCAAGGGAGATCAGTCTTTCTTTACATTGACCCTCCTAAAATATTTTCAATACAACTACATAAGTTTACAAGAATTTGATGATGGTTGACATCAGGGACAGCGCTAGTGGGGGTTTAGGGGGGCAAAGGACCCCGTCAGGGACCTCTGGACCCCCACTTGGACTCCCCTTTCGGGAAATTTTCAGCAAGGTCGTCAGGGAAAAATGAAATCTCGACTGCCGAAAGTACAATTAAGGTATGCCTAACTAAGCTGTTAAATTTTAGGGATTAGTGTGACCAGTGCTACTGTATGTGCGAGGTGTATACTATCGCGATCGTATGGGTTGAGGTGGTAGTTCCAGATCTTCCCCGACAGGGATGCTGGTACCTATGACAGGAGGTCAGTACCCTGACCGGGGGTGGGGGGAGGGCTCTTAACTTGCATGGTTTTCTATCAAATTATCCTTTTTAAATAAAAAATACCATAATCAACACAATGTTTTAATTGACGGGGGGGGGATTTGGACCCCCTTGTCGGGGAGCTTGGTCCCCTCGTCGGGGAATTAGTGGCGCGCCGTCCCTGGTTGACATCTAGAATTGAAGAAACCATTACAACATGAAAAGAGATCAAGGGACTGTCTTGAGGATCAGCCTTCGGCAATCCCTCAAAAAACAGTTATCAAGGACATAATAGGACAGGAGAGAAATGTCTCCAGGAATCTGTCTGACAGTTTTACCATAGCACCCTCATTAAGACTTTCCATCATATGAATTTACCATGCAACTGTGACGAAAGTTGAAAACCGGCCATCGGGTACAGATTCGTTTTGCTTCTGTCCATTTGCTTGTAGGAAACGCTCAGTCTTGAGACGCGCAGATAACTGATCTGTCTCCTGGTGGTGAGAAGATAGAAGATAGTCAAGGTTGAAGGTCAAGGTTGACTATCAAAGACCTATGTCAATCACAAAATGATTGACATACAACACTTACACTTTGGAATGCAGACACTCCACAGGGAATATCCTCACTTTTCATTAATGGGAACCAATTTGTAGATTTTATATTTTCAGTGTCACTTTTTCTGAAATAAAATTCTTTTACTTTAGGGGCACATAAATGGTATGTTTACACTTTCAATTAATATTTCAAATACCAATAAGCAAATCATACAAACTTGATAGTTATTTTGAGACACATCTTAAAGTCTAGCTTCCAATCAGTAATTCACTGTTGACAATCAAATTTTCTAGAGTTACCCAAAATTTGTTAATATATTTGGAAAGTTCACTTGGCTGACTTTTGAATTTTAATTTTTTTTTTTTTTTTTTCGACACTATACATAGTTAGCAATCATGATTTTGAACTCTAATAATCTCCCAAGTGGATGTGTTTCATTATCTATTCATTCAAGGTTTTTAATTTATTCACACCCAATATGACTTTATTGTAATGCAGAAAAAGACATTGCAGCCATACTGAATTACATTTTAACAAGATAATGATATGATGACATGACATGATATATTCAAAGAATGCCAAAACAAGTAAAACCAACATCAACAATTGATTGAAGAATCATTGAAGTACTGGAGTCAGAAAGAGGATGCCTGATTCTTAGTATTTGTGTGCAGTAATGGCTAAGGTTGCGCACGCTAGTATTCGTGTGCAATAATGTCTAAGGATGCGCACGCTAAGTAATTTGTGCCAGATTCCTCTTGATCATGGAGTTTAACAACAAGCATTATAATATGAGTTTGCGTCTGGGATACCATATCATAGGAGTGATGTTTTGCCCTGACGTGTTTCATACTGAATACTCAGTACGTCCCCAAATACTAGCGATGAAAATTTGCAAGTGATTCAGGTGGGAATCGAACCCACAACTTCCAGGTTAACTAGCATGACGACTTAACCACTAGACTACCAAGCTTGCGGTTAGTGGCTAGTGATGAATCCGATCCCCAAGTAACAATGGGTACTGCAAGTGAATGTGCAAGTGCTTTCAAAGCAACTTGGGCCTAACATTAGGCCAAGATATGTTAGGAGGCATATGGAACTGTGTAAGGCCACATGATTTTAAATCGGATAAATTTGGATCGACTTAACATTGTTGAAACGAACTAGATCCTTTATTTTTTGTGGTCCTTAACTTATAGTTTAAAATGAATGAGTGGGTGTAGAAGTATAGTTTACTTATAGAATGGACGAAGCAAAAACCTGTTTACCCCCACATTCTTTTTGGAAATATACTATAAATAATTATTTACTACTACAACAAACTTGAAATAAAGTATAGCATCAATAAATTATATGAATTAGAAAGAAAAAGCAAGCAAAAGTGTTCTTAAACAAGCCAAATTAGGACACATTCACTTATTAATAATTACTGAAGTAATTTTATTTAATTAATAATAATTCAATTAATTATATTAACGATTATTTTTATTATTTTAAATTCATTAAAATAAGAAATTCATTAATTATATTTTAAATATTTATTAAAAAAAAGTATGTCTGTCACTGAAATACAGAAGCATGAGCCCAAATCTGGAAAGTGCCACCAACGGCTATTGTAGGTCGATCCACCGTCTATAATTAATAAAATAACTATTACTATTAAAATGAAATTAGATTATAATCAGGGGTTCTCAGCCTATAATTAATAAATTAGATTTGACTCTGTTTGATTAATAATTAAATTATATTTGACATTCTTAATTATGTAACAACATTCATTTGGGGTGTTTAAACACACTGAAAATGCAAAACAGCATTCCCTTTAAGTGCCTCCTTAAGATAATTGATCATGATTATAAACACCAAATCCTACAAACACAGTTCACTTGTTCTCGTTCAGAGAAACATCTTATCTTCGTTAGAAACGAGAACGTAAGCTATTCCACACGGTAGGCATATGGTCTTACCATGCCTTCTCTAATAAATTTCAACTTCATAGTTTCCAACGTGGTTATCCCTGATGACCTATCGGCAAAGTGCCTTGATGATGTGCTGCTGGCCTCAGAGTGAATGCTCTGGTTGCAGCGTGGGATTATTCATGAAAATTACTTCTTTCTGTCATAACCACTCTGTTACGAAGCATGTATAGTTTTCTTTTCTCATCTCCGGTGGGTTCTCTCGTTTTCATCACCTCCGTGCCAATTGAAAACATATACATTTATTTTCCTCGCTAAGTGTCTCTTTGCACATAGAGGTTGTACAGCTGTTATACAAAATCTTTCATTATTACTGAACCAAAACTGATCTATGGTAACCTTTAATCAACAGGTTTAGCAATAGGAAAAGTAATGTTCCATAAAATATGGTGAGAGCAGGAAATGCTAAAAAGAAATAATCAGGTGAACATAAATGAGAGGGAAGGGTAATTGTATAGAAATACAAGCAAATGTGAAGTTATCTATTTGATCGGAGCAGGCTATAAATCATCAGATATTTGTTTGTTATTCTAAACAGATGTTGTCTGATGAAGTAGAAATTTGTTTAACCACCCCTTCCACTACCCCATAATAAAGACTTACTATTTGTTTCATGCAACTTGAATAAAACAAACATATTAAAACATTCTAGGAAAACATTGTCTGTTGGGTTTAACAGATATTTGTCTTTTCTTTTTTATTCATGACCAATAGGAGAAGGACAGGAGTGGTGGTAGTTAACTTTCAGTGTATTCATATTCATAATTTTATTTCACTCAGAACTCAAAAGTAATGAGTCTAGTAGGCAAAAAGGGAACATGTTCCTGTACAAAATTCCTACTAGAGAAACAATAAAAATAATAGTGTATACAAAGTCTGAATGAAAAAAACAATATGGTATTCAAGATCTAAAGAAATGCATCATATAGTTATCTGTTACTGTATGCATCCACAAATTTTCAGCAATGCTCAATTAACTAATCACTGAAATATTGTCTGTTGGATTCCGGTACAAAAAAGTATGAATCCGAAACTAATCAATGAGCACATGACAGCTTCAATTAGCTTAAATAAATGGATTGGAAAATAGTGAATTTAATGTGTATTTTTAAATCATTACGCTGTTTATGCTTCCTGAGCGTTATCGTTGGTGTCGAAGGAAGTTTATAATGAAATATGTCAAATGTGTCAGTTTTAGGTCCCTATGCACTTTTCAAAGCATGAAATGCAGATAAAAAAGCAGAGTAGGAAGAAGAGGGAAATAACAGAAATGTAGATAACTAGCATGGGGTGGTGGGAGAAAAAATAATTAATGCAAAAAATATTAGCGAAAGTCGAAAGAGAAGTAACATGAAAATACAGATACCAACATGGGGGAAAAGGTGAGGTAAAGTATGTGAATGACGGCAAAAAAACTTGCAAAATATAAATAAAATTAGTTAAATGGTTTTGTTTTTGTTATATTAGTGAGTATTCATTTTATATAATAGCCTCTTTATTTTCGCTTACAAAGCGCATTTGTATCTCTGCCACATTGGGTCCATGTGCTTAATATGTTGCTGATGTATCAGTGAACATGCAGGCAAACCCAGCAGGAACTTATTGATACTCCTGGGTGGAGGGACGCTGATAATGTGTGAAATGTACAGTGAGGGCTTGAAACCCCGACCTTGAGTTAAGGTTGGGATAGACCAAACTGTTACTGAGGGGCCAAACCGAGTACTTTTGGTACAATAGAATGACGGTTATCTTCCACTTCATTTTTCGTTCGTTGGTACCATAAATTTTTGCAACTGGCTAAAAGACTTATTATTGTCATTTTTATTATTATTATTATTATTATTATTATTATTGTTAATAATATCTAAAATAAAAATAGAAACGTTATTTCTGTTTTCACTATTATCTATTAAATTGGTTAAGGCATATGAGATTTTAAGAGGAAAGCTGATGTAAAAATGTAGTTTTTTAATGAGAAATCAGGAATAACTCTACTTCATATAAGAAATAGTTGTGTATTGAAGAGGAGTTTCTGGTAAATTTAACAACCATTAAAACATCATCACAGACATAAGTCTAAAATTGCTGTAAACTAATTTGAATAATTTTATTTTGATATCAAAATGGGACTGATAAATTAAAAATGATCTTGAATAAAAATATCACAAAGTTTGAAGTTGTCAACTAAATATATTAAATGACTTGACACAAATGAAGATTTACAGGTTTATCAGAAAGTCATGACAAGATAATCCAGAGTTTGAGTTTGTTTTTCATATCTCCTCATCATCAAAGCCTGGATGACAGGTTCCCTTCAACTATGGGAATGTTGGCAAGAAGCTTCACAGTGTCACCATACATAGCATCTACATTTAAAAGCATACACAGAAGTTAAGCGCAAAGTAAAATATTGTTATCAAAAATTATTATTATTGCTATACAACTTGTAGTGTATAGGTTTTTAAAACTGTCTATTTAATAATTTATATATTTATTCATACCATGTAGGATAAAATAATAAATATTAATTTACATCTACCAAAAGATTCACAAATTACTGGATTTTTTTTTTGCATGCACAATAAATACCATTTCTATGCTGCTTTTATAATTAATTTAAAGTGTTTTGTAGTCTAACTTCTGTAAAACTGCTAAGATGTTTGACAAGGTAGTCTGACAGGGGGGGGGGGGCGGCTAGAGACAGGTATACAGTATCTCCCTGGGAAGTACTGTATTTCTAATCCGAAACTGTCCAGGTTTATTCCCTATTGAGTAGAAGGAGACAAATGTACATAAACTTTCCAAAGACGTAAGCAACGTGGGCAGAATGAACCCACGACCTTTACATTTTAAGCTCAAACCATTGCTCCACACCCTTGTGTGGGGAAAATACATGCGTTATCGTTTACACCGGACAATGTCATTCTACATATGTACAGTATATAAACATGTCATACATGTCCATCATTTTAAGCATGCAAAAAACAAAACATGCAACACACTACATTTTCATTTCTTATCAATTAAAAAACAGGAAGAAATGAACATGAAATGGCATATGTTTTCTTCCAGGAAAACACCAATTGACAAATTTATATGACGCAAACAATCTTCAAATCACAATACACTGCTCATTTAAATATAAACTAAAACCACAGGTAACGCTCTGACGCGAGATGGGCGTGAACAAAACATGCAACATACTACATTTTCATTTCTTATCAATTAAAAAACAGGAAGAAATGAACATGAAATGGCATACTGTATGTTTTCATCCAGGAAAACACCAATTGACAAAATTTATATGACGCAAACAATCTTCAAATCACAATACACTGCTCATTTAAATATAAACTAAAACCACAGGTAACACTCTGACGCGAGATGGGCGTGAATTATACATATTTGGTACTACTAGATTCCTTCAAGGAAAAAATAATCGACAATATAAACTTTTATTGTACTATTAAAATTGTCCTATAGTTTGCAATAAATTTATCTTAAATCTTGTATTTTTTACATTAAGTATTTTATCTGCTTATATTTGGATGTTGGATGAATATAATAAACATATTCTATATAATTGTAAATATAAAAATACAGAGCATCTTTAATTCCTTTTAAATTAAGGTGAAAAGTTGACTTACGGTAAAATTTCTTTATGTTGAGCAATTTCAGATATTATATCAAAATTATTCACAGAGAAACATAAACTCATAAATATCTAAATAACATCATTCTTAATATTTACAGTATTATTTTTTTTAAGGAGCTGTGTTCCAAGATTTTGGAAAGGGCAAAAAGGCAGAGTAGGGAAATATGTTCAGAATGTTTGGACAAACTCTTAAAATGATGATTAAAACCCTTATCAAAGTCTGATAATAAAACAAGAGATATATTTGAAAGGATTAGAACCCAGAATCCTGGTCAAGAAGAAGCATCACATACCACCAAACTACCACAGAAAACTAAAATATCTACTCAATTTTTTTACATGTTTGCTTTTAAGTGAAAGACGTAAACGTCAGAATGAGCTGTAATTAGCACCAATTCTCCATTTCCTGTTGATTACATGCATTAAACAGTAATAGTTCTTACTCTCAAACTATTTCATATTCTAAGCACAGTAGAGTTACTTCTAAAAAAGCATTATTTTTTTTATATATTTAGTTGTTTTGCTATAAAATAAAAAATACAAATTAAGTACAATTGAACTAATTACCATTTAACTGAACTTTTGGCTAAAATTATTTTCATACTTTTTAAAATAAATTCATCTTATAAAATCAATATGATAGAATTATATCAAACATGAATTAATAAAAAAAATTCTTATACTTGTAATAAAATTATTTAATCTAATAATAATAATAAAATATTAATATAATTAACGTTAATTTTTAAGTAACAATAATAGAAAATTATTCATAATAAATAAAGCAGGAAATAATCAAACCAAATGATGTATTAATGTTAATTGTAAGTTTTTACTTTACTTTATTCTTGTTGTATTAATGTTAACAATGTTAAATATACTTGGAAAGTTTGGCAAAGTAGCAACGTCAAATGACATACACTGCAAAAATTTACTGAACATTATACATGTTTATACACGTGTGGGAAACACCCAGAACTAACATGCTAAAAAAAAAATAACTTGTCACCGGTAGTGTGAGCTGTTTGAATGTTAGATAATCTAATTACAAATAAATTATTTAAGGCTGACCTGGAATAATTTAGGTTTAGGATTATTTTGTAATTCAGCAGGAATTAAGTTCCAATTTTTTTTTTTTCGGGAGCAGAATACGAGAAAGAGTGTTCACCTGTGCGAGCATGTCTAACTCAGGGAATAAGAAATCTGTGACATTGAGAATGACAGGGTGAGAAAAAGCATGTTTATTAATAAGTGAACAAAGGTAAGACAGAGCATGGCCACACATGCATTCGTGAGTAATCAGCAGAATTTTGAAGATAAATCGTTTGTGAATTGGGAGCCAATATTTCTTCCAAAGGGGGAAAGGTGCGTGAACTAGTTCCAACTATAGCCTACATACTAACAGTGTGCGTTAAGTATATCATAATGTACAATCTATCAATCGAGTCAGTGTATTTTTAGTTGACCTTAATTTACCGAACACTTGCTAATTTCTCCGCAAATTTCTTTATTTCCTCCCGCAGGGGTTATAATCTTTACTGTGGTTCTTATACACTTGTGTTATGCAAGCCAGTTCTCTCTATCTTTCTACAACATGCAAAAGTGATGTATGAATTAAAAATCTCTATAAGAATATGGAATTCATATTGAATTTTTTTAAAATTAAAAAAAAAGATAGAAAAGCAAAATACAATTTTTAAAAAAAATTATTTTAACCACTGAAAAAAATTGAATTAACTTATATACTCACTAAAATAATATTCAGCAAAGTAGTCATAATATAGCCTGAATATGGGTTTCCCTCTAACTACTTTTCTGTGATACCAAAACTGCGAAACCCCAGTCCCATAAGGTGGTCTTCAATTGAAGGGAGACTTGCATTGGGTTTAGGATATAATATTTATCCTTGAATAAGCTTTATGATATTATGAGCTTGTTGATAAGTTTAAGAAAATATAACAGAAAAACAGTGATGCAAATCGGACAAAAAACTAATAATTTTAAATACTGAATCACGATGGATTAGGCTTACATCAATTTTTCAGAGTATGTTTCACATAGTAAATATTATAATTTCTAAACCAATGAAATTGAATGGTTTTATAATATAAATGTTTTATGGATTTTGATATTCAGAAAGTAATTATTAGTTTATTAGAAATTGTTTACCTTGCTGTATATTTGAACGAAATCTCCAAGCTGTTTTGAAAGAATCCTCCTTCGATCGTGAATCTGTAACTTTCGGCTCGGAACAATGACTTTAAATGGCTCCTTTAGATTTCCTGCCGCACGTTTTAAGAACCGCAGCACCAAGTCCTGGAAAGAGACATTCAAAAGAAAGAAAACATTTTTAATATACATTTTCTGCAACAATGACCACACCTAAGTTAAAGATACTAGGAAAACAAAATAGAACTTTCACATAGTAAAAGTGAAGCAGAAATACGTCATAGCTCTTACGCATCCTCTGACGTAAGCGGCGCCCTTCTCTTTTCTGATAACAATTAGATGACAATTTAATTAAGTTTGTTTATATACAGCCAATGCTGTAGCCAGGATTTTCAGACAGTGCGGGACAATATAAGGGTGGACCCACTTTATGCGTAAATTCGAACAATGTGGACCCATTTTATGCAAAAATATGAAAAATCTGGACTCTTTTTCCTAAATTTTATCCATTTTAGGCTAAATATGAGAAATCTGGACTCATTTTTAAAAAAATGGGCCCATTATATGCATAAAATTGCATAATTTGGACTCATTTTTAAAAATGTGGACCCTTTGGACAAATTGTGTGGGACTGTCCAAACTGTCCCAATAGCTCGCTACAGCATTGTATACAGCCATACGCGGCGCCACATTTAATGGGATGCCGCATACGGCTGGGGTGAAACAAACTTCTTACGTTAGCATAACCATTCACTTTACATGCATTTCAGTGATAGAGTTTTCTGCTGTGTACAGTTCTATATTTCATTGGTATGGATGTTTGCTTCATTACTTGTGGTTTTTGACATTTTATAAACATTTTTTGTTAACATGAAAATAGATAGTGGGGGAACATCCTTTTAAGAAAACAGGTCCAGTGATGTTATCAGCTCGTAGAGCGCAGGAAAGAGAAAGGAAAAGTACGGACCACGATGCTCTGGTTTGTGACACGATGAGTCTTGGTATGAATAAATCAAATTATATTGAATACTAATTCAACAAGGGGAATGACAAGCACAAATAATCGCTCTTATAATCAGCATATCATGCGCTGACTAATGAAATGTTATTTAGTATAATTACCGATGATGACAAGCCTGGTAGACAGGCAAATTATCCTTCATGGGTTGGATGTGGCAAAGTAGAGTATACTTGTATGACTGTCTTTATGGGTACAAGGATTATTTAACATAAATTCAATAAAAAGCATTGAAATTATTTTTTTAAATCTTTAAATTTTGTTTTTACATTTACATCTTACAGTATACACTCACCAATTAAAATACTTAAGATAAAACATACTCCAAATACAGTGAGACTTGTCATTGTGGTGACTGTATTTAGAGTATGTTTTACATTGTTTTATAATGTAACAATAGAAAATGTTGTATCTTGTATAGAATGGATTGAAGTCTTAAGTCTCTTTATGAGGTTTTTATAGGGTGTTATTTTGTTTTGATTGTGAGAAAAAATCCTAGTGTACTACAGAACTCTGGATCGTGGAAATGCTAGGCACCATTAATACAAGGATAGAGAATTTGAGAAGATTCAAATTATAAATTTAAGATTTTATTTGGATTATGTTTTTGTTTTATAATGTGCCAATAAAGAATCTTCTATCTTGTAATTACAGGATGGAATGAAGTCTGCAAGTCTCTTTATGAGGTTTTTTATAGGGTGTCAAGTTGTTTTGATCGTGAGAAAAAAATCTTGGTGAGATACAGAACTTCAGATCGTGGAAGTGCAGGGCAACCTTTTCAACCATTAATACTAGGATATAGAACTTGTAAAGATTCACATTAAAAATTTAAGATGGAATATAATATGACATTAATCTGAATGAATCACATTCAACAGAGTGGGCACACCCTAAAAAATTGAATAATATTGTTAATTAATTAATTAATTAATCAATCAATCAATTATTCAATTAAATATTAATGTACAAGGTTCATGTTGTATGTTGGTTATTGATGCTTACATGTTTTAAGTTCTTAATTGTGATTAAACATATTTAAGGATAAAAGTACAAACAGTACGGAAACAACAAATTATTTCCTTGTTAAATCCAATAAAGTGTTTGTTTTATTGTATTGTAAACCATATTTATAGACGGTGATCCTTCTGGAGTATACTAGAAGGTCGGCTGATATTCAGGCGCCCACTTAAATAAATGAAATCATGTGATGCTTTTATCAGCAAAGCCTCTTTATGAGGCTAGGGAGAAAATGTCCTGCTGTTACAGGAATTGAACCCAGGCCCATGGGATTAGAAGGCAAGCATCTTAACCATTAAGCTATTCAACTCAACTCCAGAGTTGACTTACACTTTTAATACTGATCTTCTTTTGTAAACTCTTTATTTAAACCATGTGTTATATTCTAAGTATTTTTAACCAGATTAAATTAAAAAATAAATTGCAGGTAATTATGCATATAATGTGCCTTAATTGGTTACAAATATTTCTGAACCGTAACCCCCATTTGACTGACATTAGTTGAATTTCTCATAAACTGAGGCCTACAGTAGTTCAGACTAGGTGGATAAACCCGGCTCAACTCACCGGGTTTATCCACCTGCCAGTCTGAACTAGGTGGCTTATCTCAAGCTGGGCTGTGTTCCTATAGTAACTAGGCCTTGCCCGCCCCCGTCCTTAACTTTTCTAAGCCGGGCTTTAATCGTTACAGGGGGTTTGCATTGACTTCTGGCTAACAAAATGACCAATCAGCATTCAATTACGTACGCTGTGAGCGAACGTACGTACGTTTCGCAAGCAATGTTTTGAAATACGTTTCCTGGTTACAGTTCATTATTATGCAAATTCTCGACTGGCTAAACCCACTAGTCTAAACGCCCGACAAAGTTAAGCTGGGCTTAACGTTAAGCCGGGCTTAACTCAAGTCTGGCTTGTCTCCAAGTCTGAACGTAGCCTGTAGTGTATATGTCCATTACCAGTAAACTATATTTTAACGAAAGATGAAGACACATCATAGCATATGCTCAAAAAGTACTACACCAGGTGATATGATCCAATGGACTTCGTGCACTGAGCCAGGCACCGTGGATATTGTGGCTTGGTCTCACACAACGATATCGTAAGCGTATATCAACACATGCGTTTGTGGGACAACACAGGTTCGTGCGACAAAACATGTATTGCTGGTCATGTTCTGACTGGTCAGTTGTTTAGTTTGATTGACACTCTAAAAATGTCCATTTTTAAACATGGTTAATCTATGAATAAGTAATAATAATAATAATACCGTATTTATATAGCGCCTAACAGATCACAGATCCCACTAGGTGCTTTACAATTCTTAATTTAATTTCATTTAATTTATGGTAAAAAACTATCCCCCGCCGGATACCAACCCGGTATTTCAGCGGGGGATAGTTTTTAACATAAGTATACTGTGTACATGAAATCTTTGGGAAAGTCTAGTGGCCGAGTGGCAAGACAGGGGCGCAGCCGGCTACAGCCTTAACATCGGTGCTGGTTCCAACCATTCCTCGTCCAGGGTTTGGTTGGTAGAACCATGTCATCTTGGATAAGGACTTAAAATGGGGGCCCAGTGTACGCATTTGGCTCATGAGCACTTTAAAGAACCTAACATCTTTTGGAAGACTAGGGGGATACTCCGATGATGTTATGGTTCATTTCAGCCCCTGTTGTTGTGGAATGATGTGACATGTATCTACCATGAAGGGCCTCTTTACGGTTGCTAGGTAGGCCACACGCAATTCAGCACAATGGCGCTGCAAGTTATGGGTTATTCTCCTACGTTTACCTTTTAATAAACTTTTCAGCTAGAGCTAGTCTTTAAAAGTGCTACTTTTCATTTACTACTGATGATTAATATGATAATAAAATGTATAAGACTGGTATTTTGATTGTGACTTGCGTGGGGTGTGCTTTTCAGATTGACACCTTCCTGTTATAACCAGAGCATTTAGATACTAAAAATACACCTAAAATGCAAAACAGGACGTTTTTAGGAAATAATTTCTTGAAGGGATTTAAAACCACAATATACTTGTAGTAAACACTTTAAAAAATGGAGTATTTATCATTGTAAACACTGTGGCAATTTTGTGGGGAAATGTATTGTATGGGGATCTGTTTGTGGATTTATGAGTGAACACATGGGGATTTAATGTATGTTGGTTCTGCTCTAAATAACAAAGTTTATCTACATCTTACACATGGATATTTTTTGGTGTCAATGTGTGGGAATACGTATGTAGAATTATTAATGGACTTATGTTGGTTTTGTTTGTATAATAGGTAGTTTTTGCCGCACAACATTAACCTTAACTTTAATAGTAATAGTTGGAGACTTACATAGCGCATAATACATGGTCTCTATGCGCTCAGGACTAGATGTTGCACTTTAACGTTAGTACCCAACATGCAGCGCAATAGCTCCGCAGCTTTTGTAAGCAAATCGAAATACGCATGTGCAAACCCGTAACTAACGTCCATCGAGCACGTAAAATCCTGAAATTAACATACTCCGCAACACAAGATGAATAAATTATGACGTCATCCGTTAACTTTAACTGCCTAATATAGTTTATCTTGCTTTACAATTATGTGGATTTTTCAGAACAGTGTGTGTGAGAATGGGGATGGATTTACATGTGGCATGTGTGTAGATTTGTATGGACATGTGTGGAGCAATGTGTGAGTGTGAGATACATATAAATGTATGTGTGTGGGAGGTCAGAAGTCTATTATTAATTAATTTTTGGCTACATTGAGTATGCTGACATGCAAAGTCTACAGGTCTGACCAATGTGGGAAGCCACACTTTCCTTTGAAAGAATGAATGTACTCATCTTAGTCAAAATTATCGGAAAAAAGCAGGATGGCAAAAATTATACCTAAAAAAAATGTTTATGTTTGCCAAAATATCTTAACCACAATTTTAATTACTGATGTTTTAAAAACTTCAATATTTTATTCACATAGAGATGATTCTTACTCGTTATATAAAAACCAACATATTATTATTATTATTTATTATTACTCTATGGTGTCGACTAAAATTAAAATTTGAAAAAGCTTGAAAAAAACAAAAATCTCTTCTCATCATACTTAATAATATTCACCTGAAATTTACAGATCCACTAACAATTTGTTATGAATTTAACAGAAAGCAGGTAATGTGTTATTTTGATTGAATGATTGACAAAAAGCAGGAAAGCTACAGGGTAGTAATAGCTATGTAACATAATTAGATTTGTTATAGGTGCAAAAACAATGTCTCAATGCGCTTGTAACAATACCTTGACACTCTCCGGGAATTCTAAAGAAACAGTGTGACAACTAAAATAACTGGATAAAGCAAAAGTCTAAAATGTTCAGTGTACTAGCATGAATGAATAAATTGTTACGGCAAGACATGAAACTTTTTGTAAAAAATATATATCAGTGGAGATCCAGGATTTCTTTGCCAGGGAGGAGTAAATGAGTGTCAATGGAGGACAAATGGTCCAAAGGAAGAACCTATGGTCCAGGGAAGGCAAGAGGGCGGTGTTCCCTTACAAATTTTTGGGGCCAAGGACCCCTCCAAGCTCTGAAGTTTTAGCCACCTTAACTTCTTATCTAAATTATTTCACACTCCATTAGAGATTGATTGGCAGCTGTCAGTGGGAATATGAGAGAGGATCTGGGGGAGTGCTCTTTTTGCCATCACAAAATTGAAACAGAACTACTACATGACTAGAATGGTTATGTACTAAGTACATGTGCTATGTTATTGTATTTGGAGTAGGTCCTTTGCACTATAATTTAATGCTTGTCATCTAAACCTTAAACAAAATTTTCATAATTACTATTAACATTAGCCATTAGAAAAAATGTGTCTGCATATGTGTACATATGGGGTCTAATTTGTGGACACAAGTTAGCAGGCTACAAAAAAGAATGATTACTGATATTAAACATAATTTACAGCAGTATTAAACATTGCTTACAAACAAGGAGAATTGTATTGTCACATGATAAAGTTAAGAGACAGGGATACAATCAAATGAGTGAATGGATAAGTGAATGAAAGATAATGATTGTGTGAGTAAATGGAATGAGCAATTGAATGAATGAATGGACACAATATTGAGTGAATGATGATGAATCAATAAATAATTAAGTGAATGAATGAATGAATGAATGGACAAATTATTGAGCGAGTAAGCAAATGAATGAATGAATTTGTAAACACATTATTCAGTAATCGAATGAATAAATAAATGAATGAATGAATTAATTAATGAATCATAGAACAAAACAACCTGTCACATAAGAACAAGAGATATTTATCCAAACCCACAATTAGCTAAATTGCTGCAGGTTCTAAGAAACCAAGGTACAATAATTAGTCTGATGTGATTGACCTCAGCACTTAAAGTGACAGTCTTTGATATTAATTCTTGTTAGAAATACTGCATAACATAATACAATATAATACTATGTAATGACCATTACTTTTATGATAACTACACACGTGTGTGTATCTTATAGAAGCTACAGGTAGCATCACATCTACACTATTGATATGCATTAGAGATCTGGGCGCATCTCAAATCATGACACAAAACAGTGGGACTGGCACTTTAAAAACATGAGCCCGGTGTTATACTACCCAAATCATTCAATCTACCTCCACATCCTATTAATATCAAAACTAAACACACAATACCGATTTCCTCCGATTGTATTTGCAAAACAAGGACAGTGCGTACGATGCTAATGACCTTTAGGCATCCAAGGGAAGTGTACAGAGCACTGTAACAACCCAGCACTAAATAAAATATCTATGATCATAAACCACATCCTGACGATGAGTACCAGGAAGCTAAGAATGGGTGCTATGTACACAGATTTTCTTTTGGTATTGTTTCTCGTGTGAATCTGTAGTGTCATTTGGAGTCGATGAGTCACAGGGTCCTCTGCGTAATATTGCGAGTGAAATTTTATATAACATAAACAATTTTATTATTGCAAGCACTATTATCCGATAAATTATACAGTAACATTTTTTCACAGGACAGCATACCCTTTGCTCTCATTTGAGTAGTCATCTCCACTCCAGTTACAAATGATGACAATTGCCATAAAAAAAGTACACCTCATTTTTATGAGCAATATCAAATTAAATTTTAATACTTTGAGTAATAATTTTTATATAATATTAATGATTTTAAAATTATAATCATTATTGTCTCATAAGTTGTACATTAACTGTACATTGAGGCATTATTGGCATGTCCCTTTGCTCTTAAGAGTATAGTAGTCCATCTTCACTCCAATACAGTAACAAATCATGAAATTTACATAACAAAAATTATACTTCAGTATTATGAGTGATATTATGAGTAATATTTTTATATAACATTAAGGATTTCTTAAAACCATATTAATACAGGGTGACCCTTAATGCATATCCTAGGTCGGCTGATATTCAGGAAATATTCTTAATATTTAGTCATATATTCTTATATTCCTATATATATTAAATAATGTTTTATCAGTAAGTCCCTTTTTGAGGCTTAGGGAGTGGAGTTGTTTTTAGTTTTGTTTTTTAATCCTGCTATATAGGATTTGAACGCAGGATCCTGGTATTAGCAAGCAAGCATCTCATCTACCAAACTATTCAACTCCACTTCATTTTAAAAATTACAATTTAAACTATCATCCCTTTAGTTGTACTGGAACTGGTCATTTGGACATGAATTGCATTTCCCTTTGATCTCATATGACAGTCCATTTCCATCCCAGTACAGAAACAAATTATGAAAATGTGCATAAAGAATGGTATACCACAGTACTATGAGCTATATCAAATTCAAGTAGAGTTAGATTGTAGATTAAATTACATCAATATGTAGTACCATTATATATGTACATCGTAAACTCATATTTTACCACACTATATTTTAATTATAACATGCATAAAGTGTCAAGTGACATTTATACGTACCATTTGATCGTCATTTTGCGATGAGCTGTCAAAGCGTTCTGGCGGCCTGCTTGTTTCCCGCTGCAACCTCTGTTGCACTCTAGTCAGGTACGTGGCAAAGGCTTGTCTGGCCTGTAACTTACTACAAAACAAAAAGTTGAAAGGAAAACGTAAACAAATCGCTAAATTTACATGTGTCTAGGGGCATGATGCCCTACAAAAAAAAAAAAAAAAAATTGTTAAATAACATCAATGCAGAGCAGAATATTTTTTGCTTACTTTTTTTAATTGTAGAATTGTTTGATTATTCTTTGCTATTTTTACCACATTATATTTTAATATATTTAGAACATTTAACAAATTTAATAGACAAAATGTTAAATGTACAAAAAAATATATATAATGCTGTCATATTTAATAAATCTAAAATTTCATATGAAAGAAAAATACATTATTCTGTTTGTATTCAATGGTTACAAAAAATAAGGCTATTACTGACTGTATAATAAATATCCAAGAAAGTTATATATTACTTTGTATGGGAATGGTGGTTAAACTAGAGAGGGCAGTAGTAAAGCAAAATTCAAAGGGATTTAGGAATTTTACTTTTTAACAATTATTTGTTACAGTAATTCCTTAATAGTATATTATTACAATTCACCTTAATTAATTTCATCTAGTTTTTAGGATAAAGAATTATTCCACCACATTTAATTACAATTAATTAATGAATTATGAGCCTGTACTTACTAATATAGCCAATAAATACCTGTACATTAAAAATAGGTAATATGTAAAGATCAACTGTGGTAAAACTTTGTTGGAAATTAATCAGAAAACATAATAGGCACATATTCAGACCAGTGGGATACAGTACTACTACTAATCGTCAATCATTTATAGCAATTGGGACAATATATTTCATGCAAGAGCCCAAAACAAAACATGGAATTCTTAAAGATTTGAACACAGGACCTGGGATTTGAAGGAGAGCACCTGAACAACAAATCCACATCCAAAATTAAGCCAGGTCTAGAACGATTACATCAGGAAAAACAAGGGTTTTTTTTGGACTAATAATTCAACTAAAAATAGAACCAGATTTCTTGTTTATAGATGTCATTTAACAGCATGAATACTGACTCTGGTTTTCATACAGTGGTTTAAGAGTATTTTATTATTAAAGTTAAACCACACATCACTCACATCACCACTACCACATATCTATTGGGATTCATCCTTAAACCTCATTTTTATCTTCAATAAACTTGTGGCAAGACTTCCTCATTTGGTACGGAATATTATTGCGTGGGAACGGATGGTGCAGCAGTTGCCATTTAGGTCTTCAACCATAAGGATGGGGGTTCAAATCCCACTGGTAACTCTCTTAATTGTGTCCTTGGGCAAAACACTATCTACATATGTCTTGGTTCACTCAGAAGTATAAATTGGTACCTGGATGAATGTGAATGTTCTATGTTGATTATATTAGGCTGGCCAATGTCAAACATTCATGCATGACTGAAAGCTTCTCAGATTTTCAGACTGGAGAAGGTTCCACCTTGTATAGTTTTTAGACTTACTACAGTTACTGCCAATGGCTTTAGATATGGAAAGTTCTATATAAATGCCAATTATTGAATTCACATTTTGGCAGAGTTATGAGGACACAGTATTTGTTGACAAATCACAATCAACAAACTGTATCTATGCATAAGGAGGGCTGGGAGTAGGGTGTACGCAACATAGACCCATCGTCAGCAAATATATAATGGACCTACAGTATAATCATATCCTTGAAATTTGGCCACTAACAATACATAGAACAATTTCCATAATGTTGTGTCAACAGTGGAATAGTTTTTCCCACCCCCACCCAAAGTAAGCTTAGCTCATTGAAATTACTGGACCTAAAACATATCACTTCAATTCAGGAACATGTAGATTCCAAGGTGAACCCTCAAAGAAAAAGCAATAATAATCATCATTAACAGAGTAGACAATACCTTCAAACTTTATGATTCAGGTATTAATTATACATTCTGTAAATGTGCCTTTTACTAATCCCACTTTCTGATTTAGGCTTACCCTTTTTTTAAAAGATTACATAAACTAAAATGTCATAGAGCAACTAGGATAGGCTATGAACTATGATCTTTTTTGAGAAATCTGAATGTTTAAGTTTGATATACTGATAGCGAAACTGTTAACATAATATGGGGGAAATGTCACCTGTTGCTAATAGTACGAAAAGCTTCTGAGAAATGCATCGAAACGCATCACGATAACTAAAATCCATACAAGCCACATCCCCCAGCATCACAAACGCAATAATAACCACATCCTGATGACCAAGCATCAGCCCATTATCCATTTATCTTTAATGCCCCATGGCACAATTTTAATATAATATAAAAAAAATTCAATATTTCTTAAGGATGCTGTATATCAAGTTCAGGTAATAGTATAACCATGTAAATTTATTATTATTTTTTTTAATTTCTTCACATCCAACAGCAAGTATACTTGCCACATACAGAATGGGAATGATGCTAAAACTAAGTCTCTTTATGAGGCTTAGGGAGTGGAGTCATTTTTGTCATGAGACAAATTCCTGCTCTGACAGGAATTCAACCTAGGACCCTGGGATTAGAAGGCAAGCACCTCAACCACTGAGCTATTCAACTCCAATCCAGTAGAATGCGGTATAATTAATAACATTTAAGATGTTTTAACGTAAGGATTTAACATAGGTAGAAGTTGAATTATAACATACAGACACAGATACCTTTATTGTCATAAAGTACAATTATGAAATTTTCCTTTCATATTACAAATCTAGTATAAAAATAAATATAAATATATAATACATACAATGACATATAATTGTCACTTCAAAGAATAATATCATTTCCATAGTGCCATAGTCACCCACTGCCATTGTCATCATCACCAAAACATCATCAACATCACTACCATCATCCTCATACTCATTATCATCATAAACATCAATACCATCACCATCATAATTACCACCATCAACAATATCACTACCATCTTACATTATCATCATAATCACCATACCATCATCAACATCACTACTATCATATATCATTACCATCCTCACCACCACAATCACCATCATCATCAAAAACATTACTACCATCATAATCATCATCATGCACATTTTAACCATCATAATTACCATTCTAATAACACTACAGCCACTATCACCACAATTATCACCTTTACCACAATCATCATTTCCTCTTGTATAGCACATACAAAGTGAAAGTCATTTATGACATTTTTAAAGGGACAATCTCTACCCTTTAAAAAGGCACCTTTAATTTCTGCATCCTCAGGATTGATAAGAACATTATGGTACAGTATCCCATGAGTGTTTCTACAACATTATAGCAGTGAATCAGAACCCTTCAGAGACTCAAAGTTGGAATGGATATGATTTGTAAAAGTAATGAAAACTTGGAAACAGAGAATAGTAGGGTTATAGGACACATTGGGAATTAACTAGCAAAAATTGCTATACAAACAAGACACAAAACAGATAGATGTACTGTACTTTTATACAAGAAAATCTGTTACCTATTTGGAAAGTAATATTTTATATTCACTAAATTACTATAAGACTTTAACTAAAAGAAAATGACGGTGTGAAAATTAATTATACTCCAAATTTTGCTGTTTCTTTTTTGGACAAGTAATACATTTTCTCAAAGGTGGAGGAAGGGGGTGAATGAAGGACTAAAAAATTGGTTGAGAGAGGAAAAAGAGAGTTAGAAAGCAGAGCATCATAACATACATTGAGTTGACATCTATTGCACCAATAAGTTGGTATTCAGTGGCATATCATTCCTTTAAATTAAATTTATATTTAAGTTTCTATATATAGATATTTTATGTATCTTTTTGTTTTACTTTTGGTAGTTTTTTTTTTCTGATTTTCCTCTCTTTTCTTGTTCATGTGATCCCCTAGTGAGATCAGTACTACATCACTGAAAGTGTTATCATGTTAAAGGCAAAATAAATAAATCTAGAATTTTGAAAAGGGGGGTGGTGAACAGAAATATTACTGTACATCCGCAGTGTGCAAAACTAGGGATGGTTAGGACTGTACCATAAATTGGTTGGTAACACCTAAAGTAACTTACTTTGCCATTTATTTTCATTAATTTACTTGTTATTAGTATTATTTTCTTTACATTTGAACAAAATAGGAGGTGCTCAGGCACCCTGAAACCCCACTGGTCACTTAACTGGTATGAATAGGTACCAAAAGTAGTAAAATATAAAATCAGCAGCATCTAACAAATATGTGAGTGCAGTGTGTACGGTAATTTCGGTTTCCCCATGTTCATATTTTAATCAGTGCGTTCTAGAATGTCATTACTACGCATAGAGGAAATAGCTAGAGAAATGTTAGCAAAGGATAAGATCTTAGAAGAATTTCCTGAATAGGGAAATTCGATCATTGCCTTTGGGAAAAAATGCTTCTTAATTGAAAGTGATTATAATATTTATATTGTATGCAAATGGTTCGATATTTAAATGATAATAAATATCTAACAGTGTTGGTCTTACTTCAAAGCTTATGTTAAATTGTTTGTATAACTTTACATTTTAGTGTAAATGATGATGGAAACAGGTATAGTGGTTGCCTTTAAGGATCACAAACGCAATGTCAGAGGTTCGAAGCCCACACTCTGAATATTCACTTCTGTCATATTTACATTCCTCTCTTTACCCGAGAGTATAAACAGATACCTGGATACAAACGTTCTATGTTAAATGTATTTGGGTATGAATAAATACAGAAGACATGGAATATGAATATTCATGATGACTATTCATGCCTATTTTAGAATATGAATTTAACATATTAAATATATACCTGGATGCAAATTTTCTATGTTAAATGTGCTTGGATATGAAAAAATACTGAAGACAAGGAATATGAATATTAATGATGATTAGGAATATGAATATTCATACCTGTCTTAGAGTATGAATTTAACATATAAATCAGATACTTGGAATCAAATGTTCTTTGTTATGTACTTGGAAATGAATACATATGCAAGACTAGGAATATGAATATTCATGAGCAGAGATATAAATATT